CATACATACATACATACATACATACATACATACATACATACATACATATATATATATATATATATTTTCTGAGGTTTTCGCGGGTGTTAGTATGTAGGTCTCTAGTTGTTCGGGTTTTCTCCCGCGTAGAATTGGAGATGTCTTGGCGACGTTTCGACGAAGTCACATTCGTCATCTTCAGGCTGCTGCTGACTAGTTCAGGTTTGGTGTATATAAAATATATATATTTGATGTTAAATATATAATTTGATATGGATTATAGGTGATGACTGTGGAAGGGATATATATATATTACTATCATCATACCTCATCCTTCATATGACTAGTTGTTTTAACATCCCTTTATAACACATATTCCGAAATTCAAAGCAAAACCACATAATGGCATTCCATTGTCTATTTTCAACATCATCCAACGACATTCTATCTTTGTGAAACGTTCTAAATAAAAATTAATTATGTTTGATAACAAAGTTTCTAAACCTCCTTTATTCATCACTGTTTACAATTTATATCCAATTTCAATATTACAGGCTTTCACACATAACTAAGTTTCAAAACTTCCTTTCGTGTTCCCCATTTAAAAATTTATACCAAATTTTCTCTTGTCGAACCAATACATATGTCTACATTATATCATTATCAATTATCTATCTATGATCAATCCAATTTCAATATTATAAGCTTTCATATATAGCTAAGTTTCAAAACTTCCTTTCATGGTCCCCATTTAAAAATTTATACCAAATTTTCTCTTGTCGAACCAATACATATGTCTACATTATTATCTAGCTATAATTCATTGTCACTTCATTTTTAACATGATGCTCTAATTTTAATTATTTAGCTAGTATTTTGTTAATAGTTTTCATGTCTCAACCTGTGTCTTTCCAATAATCTTTCATCGCTCTTCTGCGGCTTCCTGTTGCTCAAAATATGAGCTTTTCAACCGCCGGTAGGCCAACTGTGGTTAAATCCTAGAAAAGAAAAGTATTGGACGAAAACAGAACTTTTAATTCAACTACATATGCTAGTTTTGTGGCCGTTCAGGAAATAGTCAGGTTTTGTGGCTCCCGGTGTTTTCCAAATGGCTCTTGGAGTGTTGTAAGGTTGCCGATTCCTGCTTTAAAGTCTCAAAAGTTGATTTTTCGACCCTTAAGAATCCGGCTGGGCTTTCTGGAGTGTCCCATCCTGTCCAAGCTGCTGCTGCTGCTGGAACTCCAGACGGGCCTGCCGGTTCGATTCCAGCAGCTCCTTCAGCTGGCTGTTTAGGTGATCGTTTTTCTCCTCCAAGTGATCCAGGCAAGAGTTGATCTGGTCCAGCATCAGGTTGATGGCAGCGTATTCTGTCCGGGTGGGGAAGGAAAAAGACAAAGTGCTTTGAAAAGGAGGTAACCCAGCTGCCTAATTCATAAAGGGGGATATTTGTAGCTCGGGGTTGACATGAGGTGTCTCTGATGTTTTATTACCCTACTAGATAACATCATCAGTGCTAGAAGGGAGAAGGAGGAGGACTGTGGGGTCCTTGGTGCTCTCTGAGCTTGGTGGTTTTCCTGCAAACATTTCATGACCCAACTAGGGAACATCATCAGTGCTAGAAGGGAGTGGGGTTTGGAGGAGGAGGACTGTGGGGTCCTTAATGCTCTCTGAGCTTGGTGGTTTTCCTGCAGATATTTCATGGCCCAAACTAGGGAACGTCATCAGTCCCAGTTAATTATTAATCCTTTTAATTATTTCATTGATAAAATTTATTGGCCACCCGTCTCCTTACAAAGGCCTCTGGGTGTGCATACAGCATAAAAAACATTAAAAAAAAACACCCATTAAAAACCATCGGATATAAAATAACCAGAGGTATCCTTGCAATAAATAAATCAGTTAAGTTTATTTTAGCTTTGCCTCTTTCTTAGGAGCTCTTATCACTGGAAGTTTTCAAAAAAATAGGCCAGACAATCATTTGACGATATTAAGGTTCCCGGTTTGAACAGGGGTTGGACTAGATGACCTCCGGGGTCTCTTCCAAGGCTATGGTTCTATTTTAAAACCTTCCTTGGCTTTGGGATGAGCCCCCTCCCCCCCTTTGCCAGACTGGCTAAAATCCTCCAGGCGCCCATCCAGCCCTTCACAGCTTAAAAGAGACATAAACCCAGGTATTAAATGATGTATTAATCCTATTTATAGGGCCGCCCATCTGGCACAAAAGGATAGATCTACAAAGGATCATCCCGGCGGCGTACAGAGAGACTTTCTGGGGCCGGTCACCTGGGTCTGCTGGCTTCCTACTTGCAGGGATGACCATGAGATCTCCTCACGCAGGGATCGCCATGAGATCCTTTCACATAGAGATCGCCATGAGATCCCCTCACAAAGATCACCATGAGATCCCTTCACGCAGGGATCACCATGAGATCCCTTCACACAGGGACCGCCATGAGATCCCTTCACACAGGGATCGCCATGAGATCCCCTCACACAAGGATTGCCATGAGATCCCTTCACACAGGGATCACCATGAGATCCCTTCACACAGGGACCACCATGAGATCCCTTCACACAGGGATCGCCATGAGATCCAACTCGCACAGGGATCACCATGAGGTCCCTTCACACAGGGACCACCAATAGCAATAGCAATAGCAGTTAGACTTATATACCGCTTCATAGGGCTTTCAGCCCTCTCTAAGCGGTTTACAGAGTCAGCATATTGCCCCCAACA